CGGTGTCGGTACCTTTCGAATTCCCCACCTCAGCAACCCCCGCGTCCATCCAAATCCTCATTCCTTTCAGCCACCTCGTGCACCTGTGACCCACTTATGAACTTGGTTAGGCCAGATATCATTCACCTCGGCACTCACTGACAAACAAACCCCCAACGGCAGGTCGGCGGCGTGACGATCCTGGCGTTGGCATCTCACACCGCGTGGATCGTGCAACCATGGACGAATGGCGGTTTCTCGATCGCCAGATCTCTCCTTAACGGCAAATCTATCCAACCTTGGCATCCACTGAAAACCCACAATTTCTTAATTGGATGTCTGTTCATGGGGCCTTGGGCGGCGACATTCAGATCAGCTGGTGTTGCATTTGGACTGCATTTCGCCCTCCTGCTCCTCCTTGCCCTTTCTTTTCCTCTTGGACCCGTAGCTGCTCGCTCCGCGATGTTCTCGTCTCCCTTGTGGCGCGGCGAATCTAAGCCCAAATCTGGTCCAAGTCGGGTCCAACTCTGGTTGAGCTCACCCCAAAATCGGACAGCGCTGGGGACCACGTAGGCTCCCATGGAACAGACACCACACCTTAGCAGCCCCGCGCCGATCTGAAATTCCCGTGCCGGCGTCTCCGCCCACCTCCCCCACAACCGTGACGTCCCTGACCGGCAGCCGCGACCTGCAGATGGTCAATATCAACGTCCGTGTCCTGAGCAAGCCCGACAGCGCGCGGTTGCCGGAGATCTACAGAGTCCTGGGCACGGACTCTGACCAGGGGAACGTCGGGGGGCAGGTTAGGGTCGGGATGTGATGATGGCGACTCAGGATGAGAAGCCAGCTTTCGTGACCTGACAGCATGCAACCATACCTGTGCGACACGCAGATTAGTCGGGGTGCATTTCTGAAAGGGATACTTCTGGGTGCGTGTTGTCCGATGGGGGTCCCCGCTCGAACGGGAGCTCCCCGGTAGGGTCCGACAACTCATACCCACACTAATATCTATAGCGCCTTAAATGACCTGGGCACGGATTCTGGCATGGAGAACGTCAGGGGTGGTTGTGGTCGGAGTCGGCTGGGAGACTGAGGTGGCCAAGCGTTGGTTTTGTCCAGCAGGAGGTGGGGAAGAAGTTCGAGGTTCTGGGTTCGAGACGGTTTTGTTGCCCCTCTCAGTTTCCGTCATCATCTCCGGGCCCTTGGGATCGTCAGCGACGGATCAGGTCTGAGAAATTGCACCAGATGGACACGGGAGAGGACCGATTATGTGCGGATTTGGTCCCATCCCCCCTTGGCAGATTTTCTCTGGGCCCATTCAACTCAGACCCCCAAGCTGCCTCCAAGGTAAGGGTCGTGATGTTCGATCATTTGCAAATCATGGGAGCCCTCGATGTCCTCGAAGTGCCGTTTTTAGCAAGCATTTATGTGCGCCAGGCGTGTGGTAGTCGATGGAACATCGCCCCTCTAGCGTCGACTAGCGTTGATTTGGTGTCGACGTACATCGGTTCGCGTCGGTTAGCGCCAATTCGAAAGACATGAGGGCCTCCCATGAGTTGTCACAGAAGGGTCGCGATGGGATGTAAGCGACTCAGGATGGGAAAGTCAGACTTGGGAAAAAAGGGTCGGGATTTCCTCTGGGACGTCCAAGCGTGGGTGACGAGCAGCGGCGTGTGACGTCATGGCTGCCTGCTCTTCTTCCTACGCTTCCTGCCACTCCCCCAGCACGCGCGCACTCATCGGATCATGATGTGCACATCTTAGGATGCAACCCCTGTGAGGTTACGTTCAGCTTTGGTGTGGGCATATTCGTGGTTAAAACATGTGCTTAGCTCTCGTTCATTTTGGCGCAATCCGAATGAATCTTGGGCTCAACGCAATCCGAATGAATCTTGGGCTCAGTGGCCCTTGGGCGCAATCGGAATTTCATCTGGCGCAATCCGAATTCATATTAATCTGAATCTTCGGGCTTCGCAGCCCTACTCATTCTTGCGATGATCTCTTAGGAGCTGCCTTCCAGAGGGGGGGATCGGAGGTTCGAGATTCGAGTGCCATTTCGAAGGTCCTCGGCGATGTTCCGCCCCTGGAAGGTGATGGGCCTGTCTTCCACCACCACCAATATACGTTGGAGGGGGGTGAGGAGGTGGAGGATGAGGAGGAGGAGGAGGAGGAGGAGGAGGAGGAGGAGGGGGAGGAGGACCCCCTCCCCCCTCCAACTTTGGTGGTGGTGGTGGTGGTGGAAAGGAAAACAGGCCAATAAGAAGGCGTTTCAGCGGCTGCGTCTCGCCGAGAGCTCTCCTGGGTCGCCCAGCTCGTCACGAGCTCCCGCCAGAAAGCAGCTCCGACCCCCGAGAGTCCAGGGCCACTGAAGGAGACTGGTTCCTGTCGCCCAGTCGCCCATTTATCGCCGATAGCGATGGGCCTGTTTTCCAAGAGGAGGACGAGGAGAAGGAGGAGGAGGAGGAGGAGGAGGCGGAGGATGACCCCCTCCCCCTCCAATGTATGGTGGTGGTGGAGGTGGTGGAAAACAGGCTCATCAGATAGGGTCACCGATCTTGTCGGGCGGGGCTGGGACGAGGATAAATCTCAGAGGAGGGAAAGGTACCCATACCTCTACCCTTCGCCCGCTTTCCCAATTCTGGGCCTCCTGGGAGGCCCTCGTCGCCACCGCTGGATTCGTCTCGAAATTCTGGTCAGAACGCACCCCAGGAGATGTCCAGGGAGTAGCGGTATCGGTACCTTTCGTTTTCCTCAAAATGCGTTCCAAAGTTTTACGAAATACTCTCGCAGCGTTCCAGAACGCTCTGAGAAGACCCCGGCGCCCGAGACATCCTTCAGAGTCGCCGGATCTCGGAGATTCCCGGCTGATCCTCACCCGCTGTTATTCTCGTCTCAGCTTCGCTTTACCTTGAGGGTGGGGGGGTGCGAAAGTTGCGCCCCAGCCGACTCCTCGAACAGCCCTGGCAGATGTACGTTTGGCGGACCTGCTTGGGGCACCTTGCGGATCTGCCCGACTCTATTTCCAATCCAGGTCGACCAAAGTTCGGTCCTGGCCGAATTCAGGAGGGGAGAAAACACACCGACACAATTAATCGTCGATTCCCAGAAAATACGGGAAAATATGGCAAGTGGGGGGGAAGACAGAAACCTAGAACATATAAGAAACTATGGGGAATATTTTTATTTGTGTGTATTTATTTGTGTGTCCTGGGGCCCCTTCACGAATGCAGGTTCGACTCCAGCTCGGGTCAGGTTCGCCTCGTGTCGACGGCCGTTCGACGCAGCGTCGACGCAGCAGTGGGAGCGCGCGGCTCCCGGGGCGGCTCCCGGGAAGGTCCCTTAAGAGCGAGCATCGGGGCTCAAGAGACGGGGGTCAGTGCAAGCGTTCGATGCTCGTTTTGGGGACCTTCTTGGGGCCCACCTAATGGATCTGTTCGACTCAGGTTCGACTCAAGTTCGACTCAGGTTCGACACAGCTTCGACTCAGATTCGACTCAGGTTCGACTCAGGTTCGACTCAGGTTCTACTCAGGTCCGACGCAGCTTCGGCGCACGAGTGGAGCGAGTGGCTCCAGGAAGGTCCCCGGAATGAGCATCTAACAAGCGGGGGTCAGCCAGAGTGCCAGATCTTGCAGGATCCTGCCAGGCCAGGGCTGCATCGACCCTGTCTTGGGCGCATGATCCTGCAAGGCCTGACTGACCCGGGTCTGGATTGACCCGTGTCCAGAGGTCCGGACGCCAGCTTGGTGACCCTAGCCTCGTCAGACCCCACTCGGCGGCGAGCAGAGACGGCACGGAGGACAAGCCAACCCTGCCTCCGACATGGCGCCCCCACCGAAAAGCAATACTGCGCCGAGGAAAAGCGCAGAGGATCCCCGAGAGTGTCTGACGATCGCCCCCTCTTCTGTTGCATCTTCGGGGGACCTCCCCTGTCCCAAAAATTGGTGTCTTTTGGGGGGCCCGACGCGTGCTCGATGCGGACTCGACGCGGATTTGGTGTGGATTCGACGCGGATTCGACACGGATTCGACACGGATCCGACGCGTCCGACATGGCTTCGACACGGATTCGACGCGGACAGGGCCGCGACGGGACAGACAAGGTCCCCCGAGGATGCAACATGAGCCCTCGGAGGTCCTCGCGGCGTTCCTGGCTCGGCGCCGTGCCTCCCGCCGGCCGCGCCTCTGGCGCCGCCCCTCGGCGGCGCCTTGCGCGCCAGGGCAGGGGGGACCGGCGCCGCTCCAAGAGATGCGCAGGCGGGGTGCCTCGAGGCGGGGGTCCGTGCAAGCGGGGGTCAGCCAGGGCGCCGGATCTTGCAGGATCCTGCAGTGATCGGGGGTGGACAGACCTCCTAACCTGACACGTCGACTAAGGAATTGGCCGTTTTCTGTTCGCGAGAGGGCGTCGCGGCCGTCATTTTTGCGGGTCCAGGTCCGTCAGTTTCGGTCCCAGGCCGTTTTCACTAAGGGGAGGTGTACTAAAGGGAGGTTTGTCCACAGCCGAAGTGACAGGGTCGCGTTGACCCGGGCTTGTGCGCAGGATCCTGCAGGATCTTGCAGGATCCTGCGCATTGACCCGGGTTTGGGTGCAGGTTCTTCCAGGATTCTGCAAGGCCTGGCTGACCCGGGTCTGGATGGACCCAAAGGTTGTGCTCGTGTGTTTTGTGTGTGTGTGTGCTGCTGCCACACCTGGGCTTTCTTCCAAGGGTACGGCTTCTGAGCTTTCCCAGCGCGGCTGGGGAAGGAGGCTGGTCGGGTCAGCGTGTCCTGAGCTTTTCCGTTCGGGAGCCTCGGCGAAGACAGCCATGGGCGAGAAAAGCTTGGCGAATTCTCAGGCTGGTGTGTGTTTTCTGCGAGGGCTTGTTGCGACCGCGTCCGCATTGCCGTCGTGTTCGGAGTGTTATGTTTTTTTTGTTTTTCTCTATCTGCGCTGGCCTCCAGTGGCCTCTCCCGGACTGCTGGGGGGGGGCTTCCGCGGGGATCTTCAGAACGGTCCTGAGATCTTTGGAGCACCCTGGCTGAGGACTTCGACGAGAAGGTGCTCCCGTCCATCGTCAACGAGGCCCGCCCAGGGGAGGGGGTCTCAGGGCCTAGGGGCTCTGCCTGGCCTTGCGATCCCTACCCCTGCAAGGTGCAGTTCGATCCTGTTGATTCGATCTAATTCGGTTCGGTTCCGATACTCCACGACCCGATGAGGCCCGATGCTTGCATGGCGCTGTCGTGCAAGGGCGGGGGAACTTGAACAAATGCAGAACACATACTTATCAGACAACCAACGGGCATTCTAACACGTCCCAACGTACCTCGAGCACGGCTGCAGAAAACGGCTGGCACGGCTGCGAAGAGTTTCAGTTCTGCGCGTCTACCCCTGTAAGTGGTCGCCAAGTTGCTGAAGTCAAGGCTCTCGTTACTCCGTTCTCCACCTCAACGGCGTCAGTCGTGCTGGGCACGGGGCCAGTTTTGCACCGGGCTCTTCGGTAGAATGTGCTCGCCCATACCCCCAGGGGCCCTTGACCCCGGATCGGGGTGCGTCTCTGTTGGGATGCAATTCCTGACAAGTTCAATTCAGCATCGGCGCTGGTATATCCGTGGCCGAAAACATGCCAAATGTTGTTGAATATAATTCTTGTTCTTTTTAACTCGCTCAGCCTGGGCTTATCCCAAGCCTAAGCTTGGGCTGAGCCGGCTCACTCCCCCCTAACCGGGCCTAATGGCTATTCCTCAGTCTTGCGAAAAGCTCCCATGAGTTGCCTCCTACAGCCACGGTGTCCGCGTTTGTGTGATCCATCATGGGAGCTTCAGAGGGTCCCACACTTCCTTGCGATTTGGGAGATACCGTTTGGATTTCAACCTATTTGGTTGAGATCTGGATGGGATCTGGGCGAATGGGTGAAGAGGTGTGTTCGAACTCTGGACGGCATCAGGTCGACATCACGGTTATGGTAGGCCCGCGAAGGGCCACAGATGCTGCCATGAAGGTTCGCATGGCCGCTTCTGTCTGAGCTGGGCCTCGGGGTGCGCGCCGAGCTAGATCTGCGAGCGGAGGCGATCGGCGATTCGCGGCTCTGGGCGCCGGGGTGCGCGGAGGGGCTGCGCGCCTCCCCGCACCGCAACGCAGCCCCTCCGCCGCTAGGAGGAGCGGACGGAGAGAGGGGAGGTCAGAAGCGCAAGAAGGACGCACGCGTGCATGCATCCACGCTGGTTTCGAAAGTGCGCGCTGCGCGAACGCTCGTACTGGACCGCGGAGGGAACCTGGTTTCTGAATTCGATAAACATTTTTGGAATTCGAAAACTAGTTTTTTGTGAATTCAAAACCAGAGTTTTGAATTCGACAAACTGGTTTTTCAATTCGGCAACCAGTTTTTTTGAATTCTCGAAACCCGTGGGGGGCCCCATGGCGCGAGGCGCCTCCCCAGGGCCCCCCCCACCCCGGGCCGAGCCGGGGCCGCCCCGCTCGCACGCGGGGCGGGCCCAGGAGGGGCGCGAGGATTCGGAGCGGCTTTTGTTATCTTATTGCTAGTTTTTTTTTCTCTTTTTTTTCCTGCTGTCTTGTTTTTTTTTTTTTTGCCCAGCCCGCGCCGCTCCGAGGCGGAGCCAGGCGGAGGGCCCCCGGGGGAGGAGAGGAGGGGAGGGGAGGGGGAGGAGGGGGGGGAGGAGGAGGAGGAGGAGGGGGAGGAGGAGGAGGAGGAGGAAGGAGGAGGAGGAGGAGGAGGAGGAGGAGGAGGAGGAGGAGGAGGAGGAGGAGGAGAGAGGAGGAAGGTCTCGCGGGAAGGGGGGCTGTATTCATACATGTGGTTGGGCGCGTACGTTCTCTGTGGGCGACGCCCTAGAGGAGGGGGAGGATTGAAGAGGGACACTCATCTTGGATCTGCGCTGGGCCCCCCTGGCAGCGCCTCCAGCGCCGCTCCTGGCGCGCTCCGTGCCCCAGGGATGGGGGTCCACCTGGAGCTCCGAAAGTTTATGCGATTGCAGTTATTTCTTCCTGCAGAGGAGGAGGAGGAGGAGGAGGAGGAGGAGGAGGAGGAGGAGGAGGAGGAGGACGGGGGCATCGTGAGCTTTCTTTGGGATGGAACCCTGGAACTTTCAGATCTGCATCGGCGCTGGGTTCGAACACGGGACGGATCTGGCGTAATTTTCTCCAAGTCCGCTTAATCGTGTTTCGTGGAGGACTGTTTGTTTTTTTTCTTTTTTACTTTTGGTTTTTGCTTTTTTTTTTTTTCTTTTTTTATGTTTTTTTTTTTTTTTTTTTTTTAATTTTTTTTTTTTTTTTTTTTTTTTTTTCTTATTTTATGTATGTTTTTATTATTTTATTTTTTTTTTATTTTTTTTTTTTTTCTTTTTTATTTTTTTTTTTTTTATTTCTTTTTGTTTTTTTTATTTTTTTTTTTTTTTTTTTTTTTTTTTTATTATTCTTTTTTTTTTTTTTTTGTTTTTTTTTGTAGCTCTACACCCTTACTCTTTGTTTTTTTTATTATTTTTGTTTTTAATTTTTTTTTTTTTTTTTTTTAATTCGTGTTTTCGTGGAAGGGACTGAGTTGAGCTACTTCGCTTCAATGGACCCATAATCGGGCTCCGTATAGCCCTTCGTCGTTCCCTCGAAGACTTCCCGGCAGTTGCCTCTTCGGATTTCATTACTTCCCAAACCACCCCACACACAGCCCGAAGCGCGGGGGGATCCCTCGAGACCCACCTCCTACTGCAGCCGCAGTTCTCCCAACACAGCCTCACGCCACCAGGACACGTTGGCCAGGCCCTCCCCTTCCTGGCACGGTTGGGGGCGCCACCCGCCTCTGGACCCCCTTGCTCATGTTTCCTGTCTGTCCGAAGGGAAACAACACAAACGTAAAGTTTCGACGCTCCGCGCGGATCTCTTGGATCAGCGCTGGGCCCCCCCCTGGTCGTGCTCCGCGCTGCTTTCGGGGTCGAGCGCTTGTCTCGCTTCCCCTTGCCTCAATGTCCTGCTCTCTCAAGGACTTCCACCCCGCGCTGTGCACGCCTTCGGCACTCACTCGGCGGCACCCCAACAGACGTACTAATACTAGGTCCGCGTCGCCCCCCATGGGCGACGCGCGCACGCCGAGAACTTTTGTAGCATAAGCTTCGTCGCGGGCGCTTTCTGGCCATACCGCTCGGGAAACGATCTACTACAAGATGGTTATACTAAATGTTCGGGTCGGACGCACGCCTCCGAGGAGGGCACGTAGTACCAGTATGCCAGTGTGCGCCCCTCTCACGCACAAGGACTGCGCGAGCGTGCTCATCACCAACCCCCCAGCGTGCTCCTCCCCCCCCCGCCGCGCCTGCTTCCCCGGTGTCCGAGTGGGCCTCGGGGTGCGCCCCGCAGTCGCTCGAGCGCTGCTTCGGTCAAGCGGCCGCAGACCGAGCTGGAAGTGCACGGTCTCGGGAAGAGCACCTTCGATAGAAGAGCACAGAACGGCAGTAGCAGAACCCTTCGGAGGTTCGCGCGGATCTCTCTGGGTAGTCGAAGGCCAGACTGCCAGATTGGATTGGGCCCCAAGGGCCAATCTGGCCCGGCCAAATTGGATGATTTGGGTTATTCGCCAGACTGGATTCGCGTTGACTCCCTCGCCAGATTGCCCCCGTTTGCCAGATTGGGCCTGCCAGATTGGCTTCGACTACCCAGATAGAAGAACACAGAACGGCAGTAGCAGAACCCTTCGGAGGTTCGCGTGGATCTCTGGGATCTGCGCGAGAACGCCACCTTGGCGCTCGGAGCGCGCCAGGGCCAGCGCATATCCAAGAAGCCCGCGCGGGGCTTAGAAGTTCAGGTTTGGCCAGCTTGTTTTTCTTGTGTCTGTCCCGTTTTCTCTCTTCGTCCCTCCACTTGTTTCTTCCATGTGCCCCATGGCCTCTTGCTTAGCCGCTCGAGATGAGCTCCCGTTTGCGAGAGGCTCCAGACTTTCCGAGATTGCGGCTTCGGGTCTGTACACATCGGTTTTTGGAAGTAGGTATTTGCGGACTCCCAAGTCCCACTATGCTTGTGGGGCCTCCATGTTTTAAGGAGCTAGCGGAAGCCCAATCTACTTCAACGCCTCCTTGCTTCATGTATCGATCACTGCTTCCAACCGATGGGCATATGGTCTGCAACTTGTTTCTCAGTGAATTGGAATGCCCTTTGCTGGGGATTCACGGTCTCAACAGCGACTCTCCCTTGTGGAGCGAAGGACAGCATCAGCACAGGCTTTCGGAGGCCCGCGCGGATTTCTGAGAGCGCGCTAAGACCCCCACCTTGGCTTGCGGAGCGCACCCAGGCCGGCGCCAGATGCTCCGCCAATTAAGCCAACGCGTATCCAAGAATTCCGCCCGAAGTTCCGACAGGTTTTGTTCATGCTGTTAATTTAATCGCTTCGCTCATGCCGCCGGCCCTGGAGCCCTCTTTAGGGCCTCTTGGGGGCCTCTTGGGGACCTCTTGGGAGTCTCTTGGGGCTCCTTGGCGGCGTTTTGGAGGCCCCCAGGGCCTCTTGGGGGGCTCTTGGGGGTAGTCGATTAAGGCTCCCCCCTCGGAGGCCACGATCCTCGTGAGGGGTATCGAAAAATACCCTCCCCTGGAGTGGTCTGGTGGCTTCTCCCGGGCTTCTCTCGGGACCATGCCGGGGTACTTTTCGTCCGGGGGCCCCCAGGGGCCGCGCCGCGCGCGCGAACTAGAAATATTGTTACAAGTTACCAGGAGATCTTAGCACGCCTCTGGGCCCGTTGGGCGGCGGAATATTCCTTGCGCTTTGTTGGATTGGTTTTTTTGGTTTCGTTTGTGTTTGGATTTGGCTTTTGGTTTGTGGATTCTTCGGATTTTTGTCTTTTGGATTGGTGGAACAGTGTTTTTTGGTATCTACTTTTTGTTTTTTGGATGGGTTTGGTTCCTTTGGCTGGATGCGGGTGGCTTGGCAGCCAGTATAATTCCCCCGAGAGGTGCTGAAGAGCGTGGTGGCGCAGTACAACGCCTCCCAGCTCATCGTGCAGCGCGACCTCGTCAGCCGCATGATCCGGCAGCGGCTCATGGAGCGGGCAGCCGACTTCCACATTCTCCTGGATGACGTGTCGATCACGCACCTGAACTTCAGCCCAGAGTACGAGAAGGCTCGGCTGCCAGAAACATATGTGCCCCGCCCTCGCCTCAAAACACGCCGCCATCATTCGGATATCAGAAATTCATGAACTCAGAGGGTGAGTTACCTACCCCGCTTTCGCTTCCAGGCAAAACCAAGTCATGCCACGTGCCTCATTGTCAAGTTTCCTCCCCGTTGCGGGCCACCCCACAGCTCGCTTGGTATCGTTTTGTTCCATTGGAAGCGACGTGAATTGAAACCGGGGTTGGCCTCCTCTGATTTATGAGCAGAACTTTTCGAAGGTCCGCGCATCTTTCTTGGGTCGGCGCCTGACCACCTCGGCGGGCCTCCTGCGACGCCCCTTTGCGCGCTAAGCGCGCTAGGGAGGGGTGTCCTGCGCCGATCCAAGATATCTGCGCGAGTCTCCGAAGGTTAACGTAAACTGCCGTTATATATTGGTTTCTTTACGCGCGTCGCCATGACGGGAAGGGGATCTGAGGACATAGGCCTTCAAGTTTTTCGATGTTCGTATTTTCCATGGGTTTGGCTCAGGATGAGTGGCTGCTCCAAGGGAAACGCTTCGGGATCCGCCCCGTGAGGATTTGTTTCTTTCACGACTGCCCCCAAGGACAAATTCTAGACGCCTCGCGTATCCCCACCAGCCCATCCAGAAACGATGTCCAGGCGAGTAGAGGTGATCAGGGAAGTGCGGGAACAAAGAGGGGGGCGGCCGAACCGTGCGAAGGAGGGAGGAGGAGAAGGAGGAGGCTGTATGGATGGATGAGGGAGTGGGGAGAAGGAGGATGAATTGGATGAGGAGGAAGAGGAGGAGGAGGAGGAGGAGGAAGAGAAGGAGTAGGAGGAGGAAGGAGGAGCAGGAGGAGGAGGTCTTTGGGCCGCTTGGGGTCCTCTTGGGGGCCTCCTGGGGGCCTCTTGGGGGCCTTGGGATCATCTTGGGGCCATCTTAGGGCCTCTTGGGGCCTCCTGGGCGCTTCTTAGGGCCATCTTGGGGGACATCGATCAATGAAGAGGGGAATTTCAATTAGGATTGCCCCCCCAAGAGGCCAAAGTGGGGCCAAAACCTTAGTACAACCAGTGATGTTGCCTTTCTCGCCGAGGCCGTTTTGGCCGCCCTGACCGCTCGCGACCGGCCCCGGAGGGGAGGGGGTAGGAGGGAGGGGTAAACCCATCCCCGGAGGGGAGAAAGGGGGGTCGGAAGAGGCAACTCCCTAAACCACCTACGACCTACGCCCAGAGGGCTGGTGGGATTCTGTTTTGACTGAGAGAGCGGCCGGTCGAATCGTTGGTGTCAGGAGCCGTGTGGTATTATGTGCCGCCTGAAGCGAGGAAGTTGTCGCGCCACATAACCTGCCTTGACTTTGGGGCAGAGCAGCTGATATTACTGCCGATGTAAATTCCTCTTTTCGTGTCCCTCCTTCCCCTCCGAACTCTTCGCTCTGCCCTCGTCCTCGTGTTTCTGGTGATGAGCTGGTGGCGGTTCTTCCGCTGTTGCTGCTGCCTTTGCCTCCGTTGGCCGTCCTCCTGATGCTCTTTCTCCTCGTCTTCGTTCACGTTCGCTTCCCATTCCCCTGCCTCCTTCCCTCGTCCCCGTTTCGATTCACAAGCTGTCTATCTCTCTCCTCCTCTGGGTCATCATCCTTCGGCTGCAGCGTCCCTTCGTGATCCTCCTCCTGGTCGTGCCTGGCCTAGTCTCGTTCGTTTTCGGACTGCTGATCCATCCCATTATGTTGCTACTGTTGCCTATCTGCCGATCCCTCATATTGCCCTCTTTCGACCCCCCACCATCGTCGTCGGCGCTTGGCAAGCCCTCTCTCTCCCGGACCCTCTTGATTCGATAGATCCGCAACCTTGACACGTCGAATAGCGAATTGCCCTGTTCGTATCTCGAGAGGACGTTGTGGCCGCATGTTTTCTCGGACCTTCACTCGCGGAGTCTGGTTCCGGGGCGTCACCGCTGAGGGTGTTTTGCCAGAGAGGGTTCCGTCCACCTGCGGATTTCGCGTCAAGGTCGTTCGCGCATTGACACCGCACCTCAGAGGAGGAAAAGGCACCCATATCTATATTGTTTCTTGTTTTCCCCCACCGCTGAATTCGCTTCGAAATTCTGGCCAGAACGCACCCCGGGCGAGGTCCAGGGGGTAGCAGAATCGATTCCTTGTGATTTCCCCAGCACCCTCCCCGACCCCCCCCCCCGACCACGCCCGACTAGGATGCTGAGTCCGAAACTCAGGCTGACGCAGCCAAGCGCAGCGTAGAAGTGGACGCAGTGCAACAGAAACGCACAACACGCTGCAGCGCAACATCATGACATGAAGCAGGAGCTGTATGTTTGATCACGGTGGTTTGCGCTGTTAGCATCGCACCCGATTTGAATTTCTCACAATTTCTAGCAACTAACATGCGTAATCACATGCCCAAGTCGAGGTAGCCAGCCTCTTGGTTGAAATTGCTTTCTCTGATCTTCAAAGTCATGGGCTTCAGCTGAATGCTCTTGCCGCTACGTTGCTTCAGGGTCTCGTCGTGAGGCGCACAGCTAATACGTGTCATGCTAATCGTGGCCGTTGCATTCAACGCAAACGACTGAGTTGCGACAGATAATTGTGTTGCGGATTGCAACCATTTCGAATATGCAATGCACTACCAAGTATGCTATGGATCATGGCCGGTGTGTTGGCGCTTTGATGGCTCGCTCTCCGTTAATCTCTTCGACCCTGTAAGCGTAGCAAAGCAACACCGCGATTCTTTACAAACAGCTGCGCAAAGCACTGCAATGACACATGATGATGAGTGTCTGATCACGGTCATTGGTGCTTTGACATCACGTGACATCACGGCGCCTCTGACTTTGCAAAATTTGATAGACTCTTCAGACCAAGCTGAAGCAGCCCAATGTAGCATTACACTTCACAATGCGCTGGAACACTGCAGCACGAAGCACCTTACAATGCATCAGAGTATGTATTTCTGATCACGGTCGTTGGCGCTTTTACCCAACGTCCCCCCTCGACCTCCTTACACCTCTCTCCTCCAAATCTGGGTGTAGCAACAGGTCCCCTTGCGAAAAGCCCTCCCTGAATATACCCCAGCCGTTCCTGACACACTCGGATAATGACATCCGCAGCTCAATGGAAAACATCGCAGTGCAGGTGCAACACGCACACACAACAACACACACGCAAGCACAAACACAAGCACAAACACGAGCACAAACACACAAGCACAATCACAAGCACAAGCACAAGCACAAACACAAGCATGAATACACACACAAACACAGACGCACACACAAGCGTATACACACACCTGAGGCCGCGAGCCCCCGGCTGTCCCTGCGCGGAACGCATCCGTGCGACCGCGTATCCGCGGGATCGCGCCCCAGCATCGGGACCGCGAGGGCACAGATACAGATGAAGGGCGCTGAACGAGGGACCACTGATGGCTCACGAGGAGCCCGCGACGGCGAGGAGGAAGGCGACGGCGAGGAGGGAGGATGAGGGGGAGGGAGGAGGAGGAGGGGAAGGGAGGAGGAGGAAGGAAGGAGTCGGAGGAGGAGGAGGGAGGAGGAAGGAGGAGGAGGAGGAGGAGGAGGAGGAGGGAGGGAGGAGGGGGAGGAGGGAAGGAGGGAGGAGGGAGGAGGGAGGAGGGAGGAGGAGAAGGAGGAAAGGAGGAGAAGGAGAGAGGAGGAGGAGGAGGAGGAGGAGGAAGGAGGAGGAGGGAGGAGAGGTAGGAGGAGGAGGAGGAGGAGGAGGAGGAGGGGGATGAGGAAGTGCAGCTTCGGCCTGGAACGGGCCACGCGGTGTGGCCCGCGGCGGCCTAGTGCGGTACAGCCAGGGTGTTGGGACCAGGGTTGCCTCCTCGTCGATCCTCGATCCTCGATCCTCGACTCTCCTGCTCGGTCCTCGATTCTCTTGGATCCTCGATCCTTCCCCTCGATCCTCAGTCAGAAGGGGATCTCTCTTTCCGAGTCCTTCCGTAGATTATTCGGCGACTACGGGTGTGGTTACGCCAGGGTGTGGTTTGCGATCGGCGCCGTCTGGGATAGGGGGTCACCACGTTCGCGCCAAGGGTTTGATGAGCCCTTGTCGGGGCGCAGCAGTGATCGCTGTCGAGATCCTCGCCCGTCCCCCCAGGCACGGGCTGCAAACCTCAACATTCCACACCTTTCGGAGTCGCCGAATCAGAATCAGGAGTGTATTCGTTGCCGAAGCCCGCCGTGGCCGTAAAGCCCCTTCGTTGCTGATTTTGCCTTCCGCATGGTAACACGATGCTTCTACGGTGTTGTAAGCGAGGCTGGTCTGTTAATCTGCCTGCGTTTTTTCGGAGGGAGTCTTTTGGTACAGCCAGTGCTCACATCGCAAATGGACTGTAACGGAGAACAGGGTCCACACCGCACGTTTGCGGCAGGCTCGTGTCGTGTCGACGCGGCGGCGCTCCCAGCGTGGGCGTTCAAGATTGAGCGCCGGTGGCGGTCCGAAAGTGACGGGTGTCGAGCGATCTGGGCTATTGGAAAGCAGCAGTCGTTCAAGGTTGAAACGTTCACGCGTTGTCAGGAATTAGCACTCGGATCGGCGCGAGGGTTGGGGTTATTAGTGAATGCCAAATTGAGTTATGTATGGCCTTTTCATACTGAAGTCTAGGCCATGGGTGCCCAATTTACTTTTCAGGATTGGATTGCTCCGGTAAGTGGGCGGCGCCCACATTGCGTTGATCGCTGAGCCTCCCAAGCCGCTTGGGGCACCCGTGGCCCATGTATAAGAGAAGTTAGGCCAGATGTAATCCACCTCGGCATCCACTGATCGCACCAGGTTTTTCTGTCTGTTAGAAACCTCCGTGCTGATTCAAGTAACAGTTTCAGAAGGACAAGAGGTTGTGACTCTGGTACCTTCCAAGTCTTCCAAGTGTCCCAAATGTTCGACGCGGGCTGCAGAAACGACGGCCGCTAGACGCGCGCGCATACCGAACTCTTTCAAAAACCTTGGGTCTTGGAAGGATTTCGAAGTCGGGTATCCAAACAATACATAAAGCAGAAGCTTTCGCAACACGGTGTTTCAACAAAAGCGTGCGCGCGCGTTCTTGCGAATTCTTAAGAAAGTAATAAGTGCTTCAACAGCTTCAAGACAATACTACCAAACGAGCTTCGCGCGCGCATGGGGAAATCGTTCGAACGCCCTTGCGCGCGTGCCGTCGCGTGACTCCCTTGCAGAACACGGGCACACGCGCGCTTCGTCGCGCGCGCGTATGCCGGAACCCTTCAAAAACTCTTGGTTTCGGAAGGATTGTAAAGTAGATCGAGTGCCCAGCAACCATATAAAACACAGGGTTTTGCAACACGGATGTTCAACAAAAGCGTGCGCGCGCGTTCTTGCGAATCCTTAAGGAACACAAGAGTTGTTCATATGTTTCATTACATGCTACCAAACGGGCTCCGCGCGCGCACTTGTCGAAATCGTTCGAACGCTCTCGCGCGCGTGCTGGGGTGGCACGATCCGTGTCAAGTAATACGATGCGAACCACTATCGTGCGTCTGCCGCGCGCATGTCGACTTTTCCCCAAATCTTCATCACCGACGCGAAGACGCCGTCATCGTCGTCGGCGTGATCGGCATCGGCGCCGTCATCGCCACTATCATTATCATCATCATCATCACCATCATCATCATCGTGTCTGCAGTTATCGTCACCAACATCGCCACTGTCATCGTCATCGTGTCCACAAGTTTCGACGTTGCCATGCTACCGCGCCCGCCCAAACCGCCGACTCGCACTAACGTGTCCGCTGGGATGTGCCGAGCGGTCAGCACCACCGCGGCTTCGCCGGCTGCGCCAACTTCCTGTCCGCTGCGTGCTCGCGCATGCGCGGGCTGGCGCTGCCACGGATATGCATCAGCCAGCGCCAAGCACTCATCGCAATTGCCGCCGCATGAGGTTTGCAAACAAACTTGCGGGTGGGTGGGTGGGTGGGATGTTTGCGCGAGCAGTAGAGTGGACAATTCACTGATAGCAAAAACTACTTGCATAAACGCAGACGTGAGTCGGGCACGTCCCTGTACAGGAGGAATATCCAAACGTAGTCAACGCATTACACCTGATAATATTGATAAAGCTCCAAACACTTGATGGTTAGAAAATTTATACGATGGATCTTCAGATCGATTGCGAGATCGATACTGAGATCGATCGTGGAATCGATATTGATGACTTTTGTATGGTTGATCGTGATACCGAGAGTGGAATCGATTCAATGAGATCGATGGTGAGATGGACCGCGAGATTGCTCATGCGATATCTGGTGAAATCGATACGGATATCGAATTTGAGATCGATGGTGAGATCGATCGAGAAGCCGGTAACGACATCTATTGTGAAACCGATCGATCGGCCGATCGACCAGGACTCCCGGAACCCGGGAACCTCGCCGCCCTCCGAAATCGGCCTGGGTCCCGAAATTGGGAACCCAGATGCCCGGATCCAGGAAGCCGGGCAATCGGGAATCCAGCCTGCCACCAACATCGGCGGGGAAGTTTTGCCAAATCTTTCGACATCCACTAAGACCCCTGCAGTGCAAACGCTGCTTGGGGAAATACGCGGTTGTTTTTTGAATATTAGTTGGCCATTTTTGAATATTTCTCAATATTTCCCAACCATCCTGGGGGGTTGGGTCTTCGATTTGAAGAAACGGTCCCCGCGTTCCTCCTCCTTCCTCCCCCTCCTCCCTCCTCCCTCCGTTTCACCCACCCAGTACAGCGCTTCGTGGCCCCATAGGGAGCCCCACCAGGGACTTTCAGTGCTACCGTTTCGGACGCATACATTTGGCAATGTCACCCACCCACTACCGCGCTGCGTGGCCCGATAGGGAGCTCCACCGATACCCCCAGTGGGACCGTCCGGGGCGCATGAATTCATCATTTTTCACTTACACATTATAACGCTTCGTGGCCCCATAGGGAGCTCCACCGAAACCCCCAGTGGGCCGTCCGGGGCGCATGACTTTGGCATTTCCACGTGCCTTGTACAGCGCTCCGCAGTTCCCACCGAAACCCCCAGTGGGACCGTCCGGGACGCATGAATTTGCCATTCTCACCCACCCAGAACATCGCTTCGCGCCCCCATAAAGGGGGCTCCACCGAAGCCCTCAGTGGGACCGTCCGGGACGCATGGATTTGGCATTTTCACCCACCCACTACAGTGCTGCGTGGCCCCATAGGGAGCTCCACCCAAAACCCCAGGGGGACCGTCCGGAGCGCGTGAATTTGGCATTTTCACCCGCCCATTACAGCGCTGCGTGGCCCCATCGGGAGCTCCACCGAAGCCCTCAGTGGGACCGTCGGGGACGCATGGATTTGGCATTTTCACCCACACAGTAGAGCGATTCGTGGCCCCATAGGGAATTCCACCGAAGCTGGGGCAGCCCGCGCGCGTCCAGGAAACCCAATTTGGCATTTACACTCACCCATTACAGCGCTTCGGGGTCTCATATGGAACTCCACCGAAACCCCCAGTGGGACCGCACGCGTGCGTCCCACACGCGCAATTTGGCA